AAATCTGTTAATGATCCTTTTCCGTATTTTGGGAATCACAAGTGTCGTTTGTGGTTGTGAATTGCATTATGGGATGTTGATATCTGCTCTGTCGACTTTTGATGATAAAAAGTCTACTCTACAGTTTAACAAAGTGACTTTAATTGACATTTTAGGAGTTTGAAATCATAAAATGTATAAAGAGGAAAAGTCTGTAAAACAAAAAAAAAATGTAATGGTGGTTTATTGCAAGAGTTTAGTAGTGTAATATACAACACCAACCCAGACTATATAGTAGGGCTGCTCGATTTTAGGAAAAATCATAATCAGGATTATTTTGGTCATAATTGTAATCACGATTATTCAAAACGATTATCAGTTGAAGTCAAAATTATCAGCGCTCCTGAGAATTTTTTTAAAAATAAATATTTCCCAAATTATGTTTAACAGAGCAAGGAATTTTCACAGTATTTTCTCTAATATTTTTTCTTCAAGGCTTATTTGTTTTATTTCAGCTAGAATAAAAGCAGGTTTAAATATTCTGAAACCCATTTTAAGGTCAATATTATTAGCCCCCTTAAGCAACATTTGTTTTTGATTTTCTGCAGAAGAAACTACTGTTATACAATGACTTGCCTAATTACTCTAAGTCTTTGAATTGCACTTTAATCTGAATGCTTGTATTTTGAAGAACATCTAGTCAAATATTATGTACTGTCATATTAGCAAAGATAAAATAAATCAGTAATTAGAAATGAGATATTAAAACTATTATGATTAGAAATAAAAAATAATAATCTTCTTTCCATTAAGTGAAGTTTATTCATAAACTAATTTAGACAGGATCACGTGCTTATGATTTATCACGGCCAGTCTCGCATTTGTTAATCACTATCTTCCAATCATACGAGCCCTAAGCTACAATAAATAGCCACAGTTTTCAGTTCACTTTATCTTCGTTTGGAAGAAACCCCCCTCCTCCCCTATTCTCCTCCTTTACCTTTGATTGGGCGGCACGGCGGCCCAGTGGTTAGCACTGTGAGACAAGAACACTGCCAAGAACACTGCCACAGCAAGAACACTGCCAGCCCTGGTTCCACAGGACCGGTGGGTGTTTCTGTGAGGAGTTTGTATGTTCTCCCCGTGTCCGCGTGGGTTTTCCCCGGGTTCTCCGGTTTCCTCCCACCATCCAAAGACATTCAACATACATAACAATCAAGCTTTGTCTAATCCCTTGTGTTCCCTTAGCTACCGCAGCAGGGGAGTTCTGAGATCCACCGAGCTCAGGCTCCCCTCTCGCTCTGCCAACGGGAGGAAGCCCCGGGCTCGAGGATCCTTTGAGCTCGGGGCTCTCTCCCAGGACAGCATGCCAAACAAGCTTTTATAAATCATCAGCTAAGTGTGAACTCTTGAAACAGAAATTGGGAAGGAAAACAAAAAGAAAGAGGAAAGAGAACAAAAGGAAAGGAAAAGAGAAATAAATACAAGAGAATGAAAATATTAAACAAATTGTGCTTTAAGCATCTTCACCGTAAGAAAAACACTTTAGCTACAAAAATCCTTCAGTCAAGAGCAGTGAGGGATTTTCACCTTTTGTTGTTTGATTAATGATGGAAACAGACGGAATATTGTGCGCACTTTTGTCATTTTAATAGTTTCTCTTTCACGTGTCTTTTGATTTTCAACTCGTTTGTTTTTTACACAAATGAGGGTTAATATGAATAATCACTAAACACCACGTTTTGACACCTATTTGACTATTAAAGCGCTCACGTTAATGACTTTAGATGTGTGTGCTCTGCTTGTCTCTGTGCGCGAATGAAACCGAATGCTGACCGCATGCTTCTGTGTGTGCGCGCCGCACACACACACATAAGCGGTCTTTCGCGTTTTTAAGACCAACAATGTGTACATCTGGAAAGGGGGCGGTACATGATGGAATAATCGTTTGTCTTGATTAATGGTTTTTCATAATCGTTAGAAGCCAAAATCGAAATCGGATTTTCGATTAATTGCGAAGCCCTACAATACAGCACATAAAACTATTCAACATGTTCATAAAAGTCACTTTTTCAAACTTTTTTAAGGTTAAAAGTTGTTGGAAGGAAGATCAAGATCATGCAATTTGAAAGCAGAAATAAACAGTAAAAAATAAAAACAAACTCACTGTTGACTGTCCTTCAAGTGCTTCTAAACCTTTATGGTTTCTGTTGAACACTACAGAATAAATATGACCTAAAAATCAGGTGGCTTAGTGGTTAGCACTGTGACCTCACAGCAAGAAGGTCACTGGTTCAAGTCCCGACTGGCCCAGTTGGCATTTCTGTGTGGAGTTTGCATGTTCTCCCCATGTTGGCATGGGTTTCCTCTGGGTGCTTCGGTTTCCCCCACAGTCCAAACACATGAGCTATAGGGGATTGATTAACTAAATTGGCCGTAGCGTATGAGTGTGTGTGAATGAGTGTGTATGGGTGTTTCCCAGTACTGGGTTGGAGCTGGAAGGGCATCCGCTGCGTAAAAACATATGCCAGAATAGTTGGCGGTTCATTCCGCTGTGGCAACCCCTGATAAAAAAGGAACTAAGCCGAAGGAAAATGAATGAATGAGACCTGAAATCTTTGACTTCCAACGTGTTATACAAAACACTATAGAAGTCAATGGTTACGGCTTTCCAGCATTCTTCAAAATATCTCCTTTTGTGTTCAACAGAATGACATTCATAAAGGTTTGAAATGAGCAAATGATGACAGTATTATCCCTCCAAGGATGAATTGAGATTTAAAGCGCAGTCAGAGGAGATCCAGGGATTTTTTTGATGAGTTCATTGTGAGAAATCCAGGGTCACAATGCCCTGACATGTCAAATTAAATCATTCTTTACTGCACTGGACGCTGTAAAACACCATGTCAACTGTAAGTCATCACAGCATCGCTCTGTTTGTTCAGGGAGGTGTATATTAGCTGGGAAAAAAGCCATTGTGAGCAATTCATTAACCTCGATGGCAGCTACTCGGCTGACACACGAGTCTACAAATGTTTGCCATATTTAAATGTGTTTACGTCTGAACCAATCACCTGAGACCTAAAGTAACGTGACCAATCACAGTCTCAAATACTTCACTGGTGACTCACAGTGATGTAAAATGCAGACATTGGTTGTCATTCTAATGCTAGATATTAAAAAACACAGACTTTTCTTACTAAACACAGACTTTAAAACTATTAATAGTGCATTTTTAGTTCACACTTGAAAATTATAGTTGATATAGAGTTGAAGTCAGAACTAATAGCCCACCTGTTTAATTTTTTTTTCCAATTTCTGTTTAACGGAGAGCAGATTTCTTCAACACATTTATAAGCATAATAGTTTTAATAACTCATTTCTCATCTCTAATTTATTTTATCTTAGTCAGGATGACAATAAAAAATATTTTACTAGATATTTTTCAAGACACTTCTATACAGCTTAAAGTGACATTTAAAGGCTTCACTAGGTTAATTAGTGTAACTAGGCAGGTTATGGTAATTAGGCAAGTTTTTTTTTCTTCTGAAGAAAGTCTTATTTGTTGTATTTCTGCTAGAATAAAGCCGTTTTTAATTTTTTAAACACATTTTTTCCTATAAAAAATGCTAAAGTAAAAAATAAATCAGACTTTCCCCAGAAGAAAAAATATTATCAGACATACTGTGAAAATTTCTTTGCTCTGTTAAACAGCATTTGGGAAATACTAAAAAAGCAAAACAAATTCAAAGGGCAGCTAATAAATCTGACTTCGACTGTATATGTTTATTATATATGTGATCCTGAACCACACAACCAGTCATAGGTGTCCACTTTTGGAAACTGAGATGTATGTATCTTCTGAAAGCTGGATAAATTGCCTTTCTAATGATAAGAATAATACTCGTTGGAGATACAGCTATTTGAAAATCCAAAATCTGAGGGTTCACAAAAAAAATAATAAAATGAATAAATAAATAAAATACAAATACAGATACGATTTCCCCCACTTTTAGAGACAGGCCATTCAAAAACAGCTGATTAATAATTATATGTTCGTAAACTTCTGGATCTCATTCAGCTGCCACATCCCATATATATATATATATATATATACACCATATACTGCCATATATATAAATATATTTATACACTACATGGCAAGGGTCTTGTTGACTATGCAAGTTTTAGGAAGAACAATTAATAACTTGACTTCTAGTTGATCATTTGGTATCAGAAGTGGCTTATATGAAAGGCGAAGGCCTCCAGATTTAGTTGATTTTACAAAAATAAAATATGATCATGTCTTGATTTTGCCTGATTTGATTAGGACAGTAAGGTCTGACTCTGCTTAGACTAAAGTCTGGTCACTGAACAGAAATAATGTCCAGTATAGAATATAAAGTCCTGCTGCAGTGGAGACAGAATGAATATTGTGTCTGACTCCATCATGAGCTTGGAGGACTGCATCCATACATCTCTGACATGACTCAAATCACTGATTAAATATGGGATGGCAAAGAAAGCGTTCTTGCAGTTAATCAAGATCCTTTTGATTTATCTTCGATGTCTCCTTCATCTTATCTCAGACATGCTCAATAATGTTCATGTCTGGTGACTGGGCTGGCCAATCCTGGACCTTCTTTGCTTTCAGGAGCTTTGATGTGGAGGCTGAAGTATGTTGCGCGCTATCTTGCTGGAGAATTGTCCCTCTCCTGTGGTTTGTAATGTAATGGGCAGCACAGATGTCTTGATAACTCAGGCTGTTGATGTTGATCATCCACTCTGCAGATCTCTCGCACGCCCCCATACTGAATGTAACCCCAAACCATGATTCTTCCTTCACCAAACTTGACTGATATCTGTGAGAATCTTAGCTCTTCTCTGTCACTTTTCTAAATGATCAACTAGAAGTCAAGTTTTTATTTGTTGCTCTTGCAACTGGGATCCAAAACACGACTTTTGTCTTGTAGTGTTTTGAACTGGACATACAGTGATGGAGTCACTATAAGAACACTCACCCTCTGCTTCTCTCGGGCTCCAGTGTCCGGAAGGTGAGCAGGGCCTCGGGGATGAAGAGTTGGACGCATATTGAAGGAGAATACGACCCTCGGCACATTTATCACATACTGATCCCACTTCTCTAGGAAACCAACAGACACAAGCACAATGCAACTTAGAAACAACACATTCAAGCAGACAGTGAGGTGGGTGGAAATTAATTGATTAATTAATTAATTAATTAACTTACTTTTACTTACTTACTTACTTACTTACTTACTTTACTTACTTTACTTACTTACTTACTTACTTACTTACTTACTTATTTATTTATTTATTTATTTATGTATTTATTTATTTACTTAATAAATACCAAAGACTTTAATCATACAAATTTGGGTAGCAATTAAAATTGTTATTTTTTGTTTGTTTGTTGTTTTTTGACAACAGTCGAAAGTATATTTTCTTTTATATAAAATTTAAAATTAAATGAAATTAAATTAAAAATAAATAGCAAAATAAAATAAAATAAAAAATTATGTAAACAATTAATGCTAAAATATAAAATACAGATTAAATGTTAAAATAAAATCAAAGTAAAACTAAATGCTAAAATTAAATTAAATTAAAAATAAAATAAAATGAAAAAAATTCAATTAAAAAATGATTAAAAAAACTTTTAATAAATTAAAAATTAAATGGTAAAATAAAATAAACGATGAAATACAATAAAAAATAAATGATTAAATAAAATTTTAAATAAAATTAAAATTAAATGATAAAATAAAATAAAATAAATGATGAAACAAAATAAAAAATAAAAGATGAAATAAAATAAAATAAAAATAAAAGATCAAATGAAATAAAATAAATGATAAAAAACTAAATAAAAAACAAATGATAAAATCAAAATAAATGAAAAAATAAAATAAAACAATAAATAATATATATATATATATATATATAAACATAGCACTTGAAAACATAAACAAATGCATTATTCACATTTTTTTAAATTGTTGTTTAGTTGTGCAACACAGCTAATTGTGGTTTAAAATAAGTTGTTTGTGGAAAAAAGCTACTGTAAACTGTTTTGAGATCCGCCAGGCTACTTTTAGAGCGCACTGCTGTGAGAATTCCCGACTCATGAAGCACTTCAGGCAATGACAAATCTGCTTAAATGAGACGGTGGTGTGTCAGTGTTATAAAGATACACTGTAAACAATGTCACATGTTCAGCATGGAGAGTTAGAGAGCGACGAGTCTCAACATGTTCAGTCTAAGGGGATTCCCTGCCGTCTGAATCAGTCGATTCCACCTGTCTCTCACATAACGGTCCCTCACCGCAAATAAATCTCCTTCTCTCACGCTGACTGCATGCAACTCTTTAGAAACTGATGCAAAATAACAAAGAGAGTTCTACAGGCCATATAAAACAGCATTATTTTGAAAGTCATGCATGCTTATGTCTGTATGTATGTATTTATTTATTTACTTGGCAGAGGCAATACAAAATAACAATACAATATTTGTTACAATATTTTATATTTACAATATATTATGGAACTTACAGAGAAATAGAATTTAAGAAAGTTAAAAATTTAAATTTGGAAAATACATGAAAAATGGCCTTCCCTGCCATCAATTCCACCTGTGTTTATGTATTTAGCAAAAGCAATACAAACCAAAACATTATTTTTAAACATACATTATTTTTAATACGGAACTTATGGAAAAATAAAACAAAACAAAACAAAACAAAACAAAATTAAATTAAATTAAATTAAATTAAATTAAATTAAATTAAATTAAATTAAATTAAATTAAATTAAATTAAATTAAATTAAATTAAAATGTAATTTAAAATGTGAAAATTATAATAAAATAAAATAAAAATTTAATTTAAAAGGGGATTCCCTGTCATCAAATTGCCTGTGTTTATTTATTTATTCATTTATTTATTCAGCAGAAGCAATACAAATCAAAACATTAAATTATTTTTTATTACAGAACCTATAAAAAAAATTTATTATCACATTAAATTAAAATTAAAATGTAATTAAAAATGAAAAAATATGACTAAATTAAATAAAATTTAATTATAAATTAAATTAAATAAATTTAAAAATTATGATGAAATAATAATATGATAAAAAATAAAATAAAATAAAATCCACCTGTGTTTATTTATTTATTTATTTATTTATTTATTTATTTTTAATTTATTTAGCAGAAGCAATACAAACTAAAACATTATATTATTTTTGATACGGAACCTATAGAAAAATTAAATTAAATTAAATGAATATTAAAATTAAATAATGTACATTTTTTTATAAAATAATAAGACAATTTAATTAAATAAAACAATTAATAAAACCAACAAAAATAAATGAAATAAAACAAAACAATATGAAATTAAATTAAATTATATTAAAAAGGGCATTTCC